TTCTGGGATTAGAAATAAATTCTACCCCACCCAGTTTAGACAGTGCTGCAGATTGTGTACAGGGCCTGGTGCATGCAGGTAAGTGTGCTACCACCTCAACAACATCCTTGGTCTTCAGAATCCCTTATTTTCCATAGAGATGATTAATGAGCCTGGGGACAATAACTGCAGAAACGCATGAAGCCATTTCTGTGGCTACCCTGCTCCCAGACTTGCAATGCATGGTTCTGTGACTCCCAGGGAATTATGCTCCCAATTCTGTTTTCTTCTCACCTGTGTGTGAAGATGAGGTTTAATTATAAACCCAACTTCCTTGATCTGCACTTGAAAGGTCTGTGACCCAAGGACAAGCTGCTGGAGTGAAGGAAAGCATTTGGTAAGCCAGGAAACCGTGCACTGTTTTAAAAGCCTTAAGAAGGAACAAGGAAGGTGAAGAGGTGAAGGAGGTAAAGCAGGGAAGGGAAGCCTAGTTGTTTTATTGTTAGCCAGCCTTTCCTGCCCGGAGCTGTGCCATGCTCATTCTGACTGCATCAACAACATGACTGAACAAGAGCTGATTCCTAGAATATAAATATGAAGTAATATCCAGCAACAGCAGGGGAAATCTATAATTCCTTTTATTAGTTTTGCTTCCCCCTTCTCGTGTGTGTGTGTGTGTGTGTGTGTGTGTGTGTGTATGTGTGTGATTGTGTCTGTGAGATGTTGTACAGATATCTGAGAGGGGAAGTGGTCACAAGCCCCCAATCTCTTACCCACAAGCTATCTGCAATTGATAACTGCTTGCAAAGGGAGAAAAAATTAGTTTTCTCTAATGGAGTCTCACTTGGTATACAAACCACACTTAAGAGCTGACAGGTTAGATGCCCACCAGTACATGGCCAACACAAAGTGAACTCAATGGCAGTTTTGGACGTTCTTTGTCTCATAATGCTCTGTTGGGGCTTCCTTTTCCTTGTAGGTCCTTGTGTTATATATTATTTTTCAGTTTTGAATTTTTTTGGTTTTCTCTGTGTGTGAATTTGTGTGTCTCTGCATCTATATGTGTTTCCTGTGCTTTTTCTTTGGCTCCTTTTCTTCTGTTTGTTTTTCTCTCATTCTTGTTTGTTTGTATTTTATTATTATTTTTTGTTAGATGCCTGTTTGTATGTTAGTGAAAGAGAGAATAAAAGGCTGTGGATTTGGGTAGGTGAGGAAGTGTCAGGATCTGAAAGAATTGGGGAAGGGGAACTGCAATCAGAATATAGTATCTGATTTAAAAAATTTCAATAAAACTAAAAAATATACTTTTTGTTTCTCACCCTCCCTAAATTATGGACCTTGTACCTACATCAGAGTGGAACACACAGTCGTCTTAGAGGGACAGGAGGACTACATTGAAGGATAAAAGAAGAAATGTAACTAGAACACAGACTGCCTATAAAATAGTTGAAGTCCCAGAAGAGAGAAAAATGATGACACCATCAGTACTGGAAGACATATTTGAGTATCTTTAAAAAATGGGGAGAACAAACAAAGAAACAATCAAATCAGTCTATGGTCTCAGGGAGATTTCTGAATCCCAAGAACAATGAGTGAATACAAATTCAACCCCACATATGACACAGTAAAATGTTAAATAAATAAATAAATAAATAAATAAATAATGAACAAAGCATGCATACCTCATAAAGGCTCCTCTTTTAGGACAAAATAACTTAACAGAAGTTTTAACAGCAAGAAGAGAACTAAGAACCAGTGGAATAATACCTTCATAATTTTGAAGGAATAGCTCCCAGATTTCAACTCTTTGCTGAAACTATCTTCCAAGCATGAAAGAGTTTGGACTTCATTAAATTTCAACTTGGTAACTGGCAGGTCAGCATGAAAGGAAAATATACAAGTGCTGCATTTTGGCAATAATCAGAATATGGGAAACTTCCCATCATGGGAGGTGAGAGCAGAGATGCAAGAGGAAACTGGTTGAAAAAGGGGTAAAACAATGGGCAAATTTAACAAAAACTGGCAAAACATTTTGACTTTGTTTTCCAACATTACATAAAGCCATTGAAGAATGCTTCCCAGTCAACAGGTTTCAGTTCTGCAGAGCAGGTAGATGTCAGTTGCTGAATTCGCCCCATAACAACTTACAGCAACTCTCACATGGAATTCCACTGAACTGATGGGACTTTCAGTCCCAAGAAGAAGCCTGGTTGGGAGACAGCCATTGCACCTGGGCTGCAGTAGGCGGTGCAGATGAGCGCAGGGAGTAACAGGTGTTACCTGTCCCAGGTAACAGAGGTCCAGTGACCATTCTTCAGGACTGAACAGTAAGTGTACTACGGTGAGCTCACGTGATTATCAGGCAATGAACGGAGGTAGCACTGGGCAGAGTTCTGAGGTTTGGAGTACTTCCTCAGTTGTTCTTGGCCATCTCTGTGTTTGCCTCAGCACAGAATGGCCACCAAATTTCAAAATGGAAGTAGAGGTTGTTGAAACATTCCATTTCTGCTCCCGAATTACACCAAAATTGACAGATCCTATGGGAGATTTAGTTAAGAGTCTTTAAAGAGGAACTTTGTAGACACTAAGATCTAAAAAGGTGGCAGTTGTCCTGAAGAGAGAGAGAGACAGAGAAAGAGAGAGAGAGAGAGAAGAGAGAGAGAGAGAA